TGATTCTATGATTTTATGATTCTATGAAAGCCCAAGCTTTGATTTCAACTTTTGTTTTTTAATGTAGTTGTTCTAAGCATTCTGAGCCTGGCCCTCAAAGGATTTAAAAGATCTGAATGTAAAACAGACCAGAAGAGCGGGGTGTTCGTTTTTGATGCTGATTATTTGGTGGTGATGATGAAGTTTTTCTCTGCTGTGGAATTTTATTTCAGAAAAAGGAGAAGAGAAAATGTAATCTAATTGATTGGGGGGGGGGTGTCACTTTTTAAAAAATATCAATTGGAGTAAAAAAAAACATCTTTGAGATCACAGGTTCTTCGTTAGTTTTTTTTCAGTATCCTTGCAAGCAGGGTAGCACTAAATACTAGACTTCAATTAATTTCAAAATCTTTGTTCCAGCAACAGAAATGTTGCATTACAGACTCACCCTAATCTTTCACCAAACAAATAGCAAAAATAATTCCAGTCAAAGTAAATGTTATCTTGGTTCCAGTTTCTAATTTGGGGAAAGCTGAGGATCTTATGATTATTTTTGGTTTGGTTTGGTTTTTGGTTTTGTTTTGTTTGTACTTGAGGCAGAATAATTTTTCCAATGTTGTTATATAGGCTGTTATAGTGGCATAGTTGATCTGTATGGAGGGAGGAAGAAAAAAGGTACTTTTGTATAGGCCAGATTTACAGTGCTATAACAGTTGTGTCTGTGTTAACAGTCAGGATAGTGGCTCTGTCCTTTTGTTTCCATTTTGTTTTTAAATTGGAAGTAGCTCTATCAGCATGAAATAGTACTTGTGAATCCTTGTTTTATTTGACGGGCTGTTGTCCAGCTATAGGTTCGCATTGGGATAGCATGAGATCGAATGATTTCAGTATCAAATTTCTTAAGATACTTTTGTTCCTTAAATTCCAATAAAATCTGCTTTAATTCCATTGTAACCTGTGATCATTCAGTAGATGATAATTACGTTTAATTATCTAATAAGAGATTAAAAATAGAATTAACTCACAAAGGAGGTAACATTTCTAGACACTGGCATTGTCAGCTAAATCATAGGGCCTGTTTTTTTTTAATAGATGTTGATTGTGTTATTTTTGACTCTTCTTTCAAATGTGATGGAGGACGTGGTTGAAGAAATCGTGTTTGTTGTTAAATACCCATTTAAAATTTTTTTTTAAAACCTGGAAAGACAGGTCCTATAGCAAATTGTTTAGAAGTAAGATTTTATCATGTAATTCCAAAAAGAGAAAGTGAAGGATGTTTATTTGGGTAAGTATATTGAGTTGGAAAGCAAACAGTGGTATGTATCACTCTAGATAACAATTCTTCATTTATTTTAGAAAAGCCTTTTACAAGCTCTGAATTCATTCACTGTCTTACAGGAGGTTTACAAACCCCAGAGAAAATATAAACGTCAGAAGGGAGCTGAAGAACTCCTAGATGAAGAATCAAAGGTTCATGCTACGCTTCTGGAATATGGCAGGTGAAAGGCTTCATTTAATTGTCTGTGGGTTTTGTATTGTGTGTATTTAGAATCATTCCGTATAAAATTTGGGTTGTGAGGTTTTTCTACTACTTGAGAATCAAACTGTTCAAGATTTACTCCTGTTTGGTTTCAGATTTTGTTTGCTTACCCTGTAAATTCTCTGGGGACTGGACAGTCCTCTCGTGTAAACAATGTTTTGTTCAATGGGAGCCCAAGTTCTGGCTTTGTGCTGCTGGTAGGGTATGTTTATTTAACGTACCTGTTCTTGGCTTCATAAAAATCGCTTAAATTCATGATGCTTCTAGGTAGCGTCTGTCAATCAATATTGCTTCTTTGCAAGCAATCCCCGGAAAGTGGGGGGAAAAAGGAGCTGAAGTTGTTATTGCTTCTTTTTGTGGTTCTAATGTGGTTGCTACATCAGGAGGCTGAATCGTGGTTTAGTGCTTTGTCTTCTTACTTTCTGCAAACTTCCATATAGAGATGAAGTTACCAAGGTTTGCAGTTTTCCATTACCTTTGGAAGTCCCTCTGGTTTACTGAGAGCTCTCCAAACACACAAAAATAACGTTACAGAGTTTCTGTTTCTAGTTTCTCTTTCCAATTTTCTTTTCACAGTTTAGTGATATGGACACTGTCTGAGCTCTTAACACTTAATAAGTGCAAATGACATTTGAATTCATTTTTGTATCTTCTGTGGTGGATTCTCCCCCAAAGACATAGTTTGTTTGGGGTTTTTTTTTTGTCTCATTGTTTTGAGTACTTTCCTTTTACCCCTTTTGTGCATTTGTCTTGACACACAGTTGAAATCAGCAAGTGTCCTGGCTGCAGATTGCTTATAATCTTCCCCTCTCATTCATGGAGGTATTTAGTGAGGGCAGCACGGACAAATTAACATTTTTCAGCTTATTTTCTATTAAAGTGGGATGAAATCCTCTGTGTTCCTAATGGAATTAAACTATTGGATGACAGGGGGTGTCCTGTTACTCAGCAGAGCTCTTCTGATGTTGCATAAATTTTATATACAAATGGTTAACTGTAGAACTTTTCCCCTCCTTCCACCACCAGTGGAGTTCAGTGCAGTAAAGCTCTGAAGTATAGCAAGCTGATTTAAAAGCCTAAGATGACTGGCTGCTCTAAAGAGCTTAATTCGTTCAAAACACAGTGAGCTACAAGGAAATACATTAATATATGTATGTCTATACATGTTAAACAGCTAATTTTATTAAACAGTTAGCATTCACAAATTCTGTGGGCTATAGTCTTGAATGAGTCTTGCTATTTTTCTAACACTAGTAAGGAGTTAGGCTTGATTTACCTCATCCATTTTAGAGTCCAGTTCCTCCCTCCCCAATGAAAATTGAATTTGCAAGTTGGTGACAGTGTCAGGGATTATTCTACTTGGCATGTGGATTTCTTCCCTGACTCTTCAGGGGGAGACATGCATGCCGAAATCTTTGGATTTAGATCAGGTCGTTGATACCTCATCAGTGCTCACAATGGGAATCCACAGAGCTGGTATGGAGAAATGAAGTGGTGTACTCCTATCCTGTCTATTTACAGTTTCTTGTATTGTTTCAGTGTCATTACTACATATTGATGTCAATAGACATCTCCTAATAAATAAAAAAGAGTATAAAATAGTTTATGCCGTTTAAGGGAATTTTTGTGTATGATTTTTCTAGAGTAATTTTAGTTTTTAAAAAAGCAAAAAGGCAAAACTGGAAATCAGTATATAGCTTGAAAATTGAAATAAATAGAAGATGTTTTTCATAGATCCTCACAACTTGTTTTAGCTTTAGGTACTGTGGAACAGTTGAGACCTAGGTAAAGCTCATTTCTGCTGGAAAAACAGATAAATCTTTAATATAAAAAACAGTGCAAATGGATGATGGAAAAAAGTATAGAGAGAGGAAATAAGAACAGAAAAGTAGGAAGCGTTGAAGATATAAGGGAACTGCTCTTCTGTTGTATAGTGTGCATCAGTACATAGATATGAGGAGTGCTTTGGGACTAAGGAAGATGACCAAGAACTTGTGAATTTTGGGAAGGAAAATACCTCTTCAAGATAGTATTTGTTGAGATGATCTTGATGACATTGCAGAGTCCTAGCAGAAGAACAAATGGAGAAAAGGTATTTGGTGTTTGAAGGGCATGGCGCGTGACGGAAGACTTGCTGGGTTATTTACATCGGTGATATGAATGAAGGACAGTACTTACTAGAAGACAAATACTGTTAGTTATTTGGTGTGAAAAGCTTAACATGAATTGAATGGAAATGGGAGAAAATTAGGATAGTTGCAAGATTTGAATGTGTTTTGGTAATGCTTTTATAATGAATTCTCAAAGCATAAAACTCTTGATCAGGAAAATATTTCTGATATAGTGCAAAAATAAAGAACATCTGAGAAAATGACAGTAGTAAGCCACACAAATATCTGGTTCGTGTGTTTTGGTAGACAAAGAAGCTCTTAAGAAGGATGATAGTATGTCTGCTGTGAACCTAGTAATAAAATAACAAAAGAGTACAAGGACGCAGAGATACATACAGAAATCTGTGGGGGCAGTAGGAATTACTGTCCATTCTTCAACAATGTTAGGGGAACTAGAACACTGAAAAAGGCAAATTTTTGGTAGATTTAGGAGTAGTTGAATGTTTTCGGAATTCAAATAGTTAAAGTGACCCTTTCATTCTTCTACTGCATGTAGATGACAGTTGTAGAAAATCGTGAGTAGAGGATTTTTTTTTCCTCCTAAATGCCCCTTGGTTATCATAGAAATGGCTCCTTTCAGAGCACACTAATCATAAAAGTTATTTTCTCAGTCCAACAAATAATATAAGGTCTTGCAAATTGTTTTTTGATCCTGTGGCCTCCAGCTTAAAGGTTATCACAAATGAGCTTGAATGTGGCAGACCAGAGTCTAGCTTGAGAGTGGAGAGATGCCAGGGAGCATCTTTCCACACAATTGCATAGTCTGTTTCAACTAAGGGCTTTCATTGCCAAATCTTTGCATATTATCAGTCAGTTTTCAGCAAAATACAAAGTCAGTTCCTATAACAGATGTGAAATGTTAAGCCTGGGAGGCATTTGGGTTCTCTGTTGATATAACTGATGTTTAAGTTTTTGTTAGTGTTGTTCTGATGCAGTTCATTACTTGGATGCAATTATCTGTGTGAAAATAAAATTGTGCTCCTACAAAAAGCGAGAACAGATATACGATAATGGCAATACTAATGACAAATGCTTTTATACTAATACAACTTTATGCATATTTTGTGGGAGGGTAGTGTTCTGTCACATTCTTCGTACTGCTAAGCTTTAAAACGCAGAGAGAACTTAATGTTGGGGAATTCTTGAAAACTTGGTGTTACGCTGTAATAAAATATGACTGAATTTACCTCTTAAGTATGAGTGAATAAATGGAGAACTGTGACAATTGATACTGCTGCTGAGGATCACTTAACTTTTAGCCATAAAAAGCTTGTTAATAGTCCTGCTTCTGCAGTAGTTAAGGAATTAAGCAGTTGTAGCTGTAAGTTAGTCACTTCTTCTCGTATCTCTGTACGTGCTGGGTTTAGTGCTTTGTAATACTGAAGATGATTGCTTACTCATATCTAAAATTTTTCTACCTGTTTTTTCTTAAAGATAATATTTCCAAACTAACTCAAATGTCAATTTTTCCTCTCCCTCAAAAAAACAGAGGTAAAAAAGTTTGATTGAGTATATATTTAAAGCTTTGAACGCTGTGCTTCAGAAAGAAGTTAAAGATTCATCAAAGTGCACAAGCATGAATGTTTTTTTGGGAGTAGAGATTGCACTGACAACTTCCTGAGGCCTTTCCAGAATTCGGAAGTATATAGCTAATGGATGAGGATTAACTTCCAAGTGGAAAGAGAGCATTGCTTTTTCCTTTCATGAGCTTTACGTGACCATATTCTATGAACAGTCTAGATTTGCAAATCATAATGGAAGGAGTAGATGGAGCTGAAATTATTCTGTGAATATGCTGCAGTACCTGCTTATTTAGTTTATTCGAAGCATTCCAAAACTAACCTGACCCTGGCTGCTGGTTTTGTAAAACGATTCACTTTTTAGTGCATTTCTTATCTTGAAAACTGATAGAAACTTAATTTATTTGTGGAAGTTGTAAACAACAAGGTATTTCTTTCATGTTGCTATTTTTCTTTTAGGAGATACGGATTTAGCAGACAAGCAGGGAAAACAGAACAGGTAAAAATGTACTAATTTTAAATATTCATATTGTGGGAAGAATTGCATTGTTTTTGTTGGAGTGTTGGTTACTGTAAGATCTTGAAGGAATACAACAGAATAAACAGCTATAGCTTCTATTATTACCACCTTTTAAAAATGGCTAGTTGGAATTAAAAGTCTGCATGCCATGAAAAAGCTGCAGTTGATTACTATCTCCTTTTTTAAAGCGTTTCCTTCATCTGTACTCAAAGATCACATTTTGCAAGCGTTTTTCGCTTAGAAGAAAGGGGGGTTGGGTGTTTCGTTTGTTTTGTTTTCTTTTTTTAATGTGAGGTAATTAACATATCCTGTTTAATGAATATCTTTTAACTAAGTGTTCCATAATGTGATCATTAAGAAGTTTTTTTCCTTTTCTTTTTAAAGAACCATTCAGCTTGGTAAGAAATCTTGTAGGTATTTATTACATAACAGGTTATTTAATGTGATAGAGAAACATGATACCGTGCCATAAATAACTCATAGTGTCTCTTGAAAAGTAGCATCCTTGCTGTGCTTTTGATGATTATGGAATCATAAAATGTCCTTGTCAGAGTATTCAGTTTTATTATTTCAGTGCAGGTATTACTTTGGCTACAAGCTTTTATTACAGACAGAGATAATGAAGAAGTGCATTAAGCATGTCATGGACCCAGCGATACACTGAGTACATTAAGGTTGCCCTTCTTCATTATCTCAATATTTCGCATACAAATTTAGCATTTAAATTTTATAAATGGAGATGTTTCCAAATCTAGGCGTACCTCTTTTTCCCCTCAAAGTAACTGTCAGGCTACAGTTATGTTTATAATAAAGTTCATTTTGTTTCTTCAGAAATTTTACTGACTTTGGAATATTATATATTAGAAGGTCATCATGTTTGTTGTGTGAATTGAGTCACCAGTAAGGCAGAAATGGAAGATTAAATAGTCAGGTTAGTGGTGCAACAGAGTGACCTAGAAATTTAGTCTGTCTGTCACCAGTTCTCATTATTTTAGTGGTATGAATTCTTCTGACTGAACTAGGCAATTTTACACTTTCTTATGTTGTATGTTTGTTATACCAATATTAATTTATATTAAGTTATAAAAAATGATTTATCTGGAAAAAAAAAAAAAATTCAGCTTTCTCCTACGTAGCAGACATCATATTCTCAGTTAGCCAGTTGTCTTGTGAGGTTGGTAGTTCTTAGAAGGTTGTGGAATAAGGGATCTGCGCCAGATATGTCCATAGCAAGCCAGAGACACCGTCTTGAACAGCTGGAATATTTATGAAGTCAGTGAGGGTTACACCTCAGTTAGCATCAATTGGAGTGTGAGGATGTTCCAGTAGCTAATATGTATTCATAAAAACAGAACAGCTATATTCCAGTTTGCTCCTTGCTGTCTTTCTTAATACTTTAGATTACTGGAACTAGATACAATATTTTCTTAATTTTTATTTAAAAGGCTGAAGATAAAAAAATTGCGCTACCTCCAGGGCTTGCAGCAGCAGGAAAAGCTGAGCCTTGTGATGAAGATGACCTTCAGGCTGCTGAAGAGGTGTGCCATATACACAGTAGGCATGGATGTTACTAACTTGGGGGGAGGGCAGCAGTTATCACAGTCATTCTCTGCAAGAAGGAAAATTTCCATGCTTAGCTGAAGTGGGAGTTGCTTCCCGCAGGAGAATATGGAACCTGAAACTGATGCACAAAATTAAATGTTTGTTGATGTTTAATACCAAAAAATTCAACTTCTGTTTTGGAATCCAAGCGTTTTTAAGAGGTCAGTTTTCGGTTGATAATGAGAGCTGAATACTCTGAGTGAATCTGTACTGTTTATAAGGAATTTTCCTTTATATAACTTTAGCCACCTCTTCTTTAATTTTCATGGACTTACTGTCCCATTACATGCATTAAAAGACACGTGTTATATGATACTAATCGTATACATGTGTCCCTGTCACTGGGCAGAAATAAGTTAAATAATAAAAGATAAATTGTTATGTGTAATTCCTCATATTTTGCTCTAGCTTCGCATTAAAACTCTGATGACTGGAATGGCTGCAATGGCAACAGAAGAGGTAAGCAGCATTTAAAACTGATACAGCTTTGTTTAAATTATGGTTGGTTATGGCAATTATTCCTAAAATCGGGTTAATGGTGAGTCTGAAGTCTTGGAATGACTGTGTTTTAAATTTCGGGAGGGAGTGCAGGAAAAGATGGTTGAATTAGGAAGACGGTAATTTTTGAGGCTGGTGACTTAATCATTTGCCTTGAAATGATAAAAGCAATATAAGTGAGTGCCTCTTTCAGATGGTTTCTAAAAGGAGAATTTCAGGGGAAAGACATCACGGTGCAGCTACCCAAGATGCAGTATGATCTTACTTTATTCATCTTGTGAAGATATCCAGAGGAGTAATTATTTTACTGGGGAGAGTGGAGGAAAATTTTCTGTGTTTCAAGGTGTTTTTCAAAGCACATAAACAACACCATTAGTGTAAGACACTGAAAATACTGGATATGTATCTTGTTTTCAAATTCTTAATTGGTTGCAGTCATGGATATAATGGAACTTTTAGGCTGCTGTAATTTTGAAAATTCTTACATTTTGATTTCCGGGTGAGAGGACTAGGAAGAAATTCAGTTGTTAAACATTGTTTCTGTTTATGCTGCAGTCACAGAAGAAAAGGTAGTAATTAGTCTAATCTCGAAGTTGATTGACATGCTTTCTACTGAAATCCACTGTAGAATTCAGTTCTACTTGAAGATTGCTTTTGTACACGCATCCAATTTGAAAGGTGCATTCTTTCACACATCTGTATTGTTATAGTTTGGCTCAAAATGTGGTCTAAAAGTGGGCTTTATTACTGCGCGTGCAAAATTCAGTATACAGAATACAATTCGAAGTAAGTTTTTGAAAATCTGAATTCAAATTACCACTGTTGTTTGCTAAAAGATTGTAAGTGAGAAATTTCTATCAGCAAAGGGTTTTTTTGGGGTAGAATGTTTCTTGGTCTTTTTTTATGATTAGAGATTTTTAGCCAGTGTAACATTTTTGTACATTTCTGTTAAAATTAGAGCTTGGGGAAATTGCCATGTAAAAAGCATAAGCAGTTCCAAAACTCCAAACGTTTTCTTGACACGGTTGCAGGGCAAGTTGACAGCAAGCACCGTTGGCCAGATTGTTGGACTCCAATCGGATGAGATCAAGCAAATAGTGTCAGAATACGCTGAAAAGGTAAGTGTGTTACCTGATTATGTTTTACCAAGTCATGTTTGATAACTTGTTAATTTAGGCCTTAAGCTTCCAACTTAATTGCCATGATTCTCTTGAAACAACACTGTTTCATACATGCTGTGGATAACAGCACAGTCAGGTTTCAGGGAAGTATTTTAATGAGATTTAAACATGCACAAGCTTTTGGTGTGACAGCACAGATTCCTGAATTGCATTCATGAGTAGTTTGGGTTTTAGCACTTGCTTAAATGTTTTCATGAATAAAGAAGGGCCTGGATTGATATCTATTCAAAGCAGAGGCCTAAACTCTTAAAATGTTCTGTGTTAAGCACAGAAATACAGTTCTGTGGGCCTGCCCAGAGAAAAATCTAGGCCTCCTCCACTCGGATTTTCAGACACTGGGATCTTGCTTGCGCTGGGCTCCAATTATCAGTCATGCCCTGGATCTCTCATCTGAATCTAGTATCATGAAAAACAAACCTCTTGCATTTAGAAGTCAAGGCAATTAACTGTATGGATTAGCTCCATTTATTGTGTTCAACTGTGATTGTTTTTACAGTAACGTGAAAAGAAAATCTGGCTCTTCAAGCAATTAATACGTACAATACATCACTGCCAGATGAGAGTTATAGGTCGCTCTTATTTGTCCAATAGTCTTCTCATATTTCTTCCTTTTTGTTGACACATATGAAGTATGGAGCTTTCCCATTTGGGAGATAAACCCTATAACTCAACAGAGTCTATAGCAAATTCCTGGCCTTTCTTTATTATAAAAGATTGGAAGAACAGAAGCCCAAGGGTCATATTTCAATGTTACATTCCTTCTGTTCTGAGAGAAGGCAGCAGGACCTTGACTATTATAGTAGAACAATGATTAATACTTTGGAAAGTAAGAACTGATTCAAGTCAAACCAAAAATATATTGCTTTTCAAATCTATTGGATGTGACAAAAAGAAAAAAAAATTTCTGTGTGTGCATGTATGCACCAGGAAAAGAGAATTAAGGATGTTATCAAACAGTTTATTGAAGCGTCAGCAATGTTTGGATATAGTCCTAATAGTTTCAACCCCTTGTAACTATACATAGTCTGAAGAACACAGCAGTGCTTATTTGTCTACCAGAGTCTTAATAGAATCCATAGGCCCAGTGAAGATGGCTGGCAAACAAAATTCTAGATCTGATGTTGCATGTGCCAGGACGTTTCTTACAAGATGGCATTTTTGCGGAAGATCAATGCGTACAGTTTTTTGCATTTGCCCCTCTTTTCTACTGCTGTGTTACCTTGGTGGGTGAACTGGAAGGAAGTTCTTTCCAAAAAATCCTGACAGAAAGTTATTAACGTGGCTTTTATCTGTCTATTCATCACCAGCTTTCTAAGGCCAATTATTCAAAGTAGCTTTGATTTACTGTGTTAGAAGGATTCTTCTGCTGAGAATTTACAAGTATAGTTATATATGATTAGTGGTTTTGCTAGGAATAGAATAGGAGGAAAAGCTTGTTCCCTGTAAAATGAGAGAATGACTAAAACTAGAGAAGTGCTGTTTCAAAGCTACTCCCTTCAAAAATGCCTGAAGGAGAATCCTCTTCAACAGTTTTAAATGCTGTTTGCAAGTTGCTTATAACTTGAGAAGTTGACTCAGAATATTTTTGGACTTCTAGAATCCTACATCAGAGATTACTATGCACCCTACACAGTCAGTTGAAGTAGAATACAATAAGCATTTCAGCCATTTAGAATGGTTAGGGGTTGTCGTTCAAGGAAGATATTAAATTGGATATTTTTATATGCAGTGATTTTTATCTTTGGGTTCCTGAGCCTCGGGAAAGTGTCAAGGAAAAATGACAGCAAATTACATTGAAATGACTGATAAAGATCTATGTGGAACTTGACTGAAACAGATTTGAACTGTTAAGGGGCTAGTTTTTTTTTTTCCCAGTGGGCTTCAGACAGTGGACTTCAAATTGAGATTCTAAACCTCTGAAGTCTATTTGCTAGTTGGAGATGGTTGAACATGAAGAGATGAACAAAATTATTTACTGCTGCAAAGTTTGTATTTTTGTACAGAGACTTTTTTTTTTAAGAATGTGAAGTTCTGCAATGATTGAATTTTCTTTAATTATTGGAAAGCACTAATGTGTGTGAGAGAATCTCATTACACAGAATAACATTAATGGCATGTATTTCCTTCCTCCATCCCATTTAAAACTTACATGTGAACAGTGGGAGGCAGGCTCTTAAAGTCTAGGATTAGCCATTTATTTTGGCTAGCAGTTTTTGAGCTGCCATAGATTAGTGATCCTCATGCATAATTAATACGGCGTTTTAACTTAATAAATTCTGTCATAGAAAGTGAGGCTGCTAACACTTCTTGTTTCACTTGTTTATTTGAATTGGCGAAATCTTTCTAGGGCAGTTGAGCAGTTGCGGGGAAGGGGGAAGAGTGCAGAAGTGAGTCTACACCTGTCAGTGCTGGGGATAATGTGTGTTAACAGAGAACATGAAGGATGTATCCACATATGCCTTTTCATCACGTGTAATTGAAGTTCTTGTTTTGAGATAGAGTAGCAAATTGATAATCTTAAACAGTCAGAGACCCTGGTGCTCAGATACAGCTTTCTTAAATTATGTTCAGAAGGCAACTGCAGTTTCAGTCTAGTAAGAGACCTGGTAACAACAATAGAGTCAAAAGCAAAGTAGCTTCTATAATTTGTGCTTTCTTCCTTCTATGCCGAAAGATGCATTTTTCTCCACAAATTGGAACCCAATTCCTCAGTAACTTCAAAGCTGTAGTATTGCTGCAGAGCAGATCCCTTAGCTCACTTTGACTGCACGAGGCTTAACCCTAGCTTTTTCATTTGCAGACCAGAAGGATTTTTCTGCAGAAGCCTCTGTATTACAGTGATGGTTTATTTCCCATTTTCAAAAAGCAAGCTTTAACAGTACACTTCTTGAGACATGACCTTTTCTTTATGCCAAAGCTGTACTGTATGGATTTTTACTATTTTTGCAAGATCAGTCTCAGACTGGTTTAGCTCATGTTTCTCTTGCATTTCCAGTTTTCTTGATTTGCATGTTATGCGTATTAGACAGGCTAGTTGTATGGTGAGAAGGATGGGGTCTTAGAATGCATGACATGATGAGGGAATGTGATTTGGCTAAATAATGAGAGGAATAAGTAAATCTGAGTGTGTATTTGTTGAATAGTTCAGTGTTACAGGTGTTGCTTAGAGGCATTTTTCCTTTTCTAACAAATGGAAAGAAAGTACGTGAACTGTTGGGTTAAGATGTCAGAATTGGTCTCTTCTTGCTGTGGATGTAAAAGTATAACAAATCATTAAGCTGCTCTTCAATATGAATAACATAGAAAATGGAGAAGAGAAAGATAGGTTTTTCCCTCTTATTTTCCTTTAAAATTAAGCTGTTAATGAAGACCTGCTTACCCATCTACCTAGAGTGGATACCAGGAGCAAATATGAGTGAGGAGTATTTCATACTTCTTGTAACATTTTTGCTGATTATACATTGTAGTGGTTGTCAACATTTAGTAATTATTCAAAAAGCACTTAGTCTTTGACAAACTCTGCAAATTAGCACCTGAAGTGAAAATTAACTGGTTTTCTAACGAAATATTGGAAAATGGATTAACTGGAAAAAGAAGTCTGAGTGCATGAGGCAAATTACCAAAACAGGTGGATGTAAGTATTAAAGTGAGGACTTTCAAAAGGTACAAATAATGTTTAGGCAAATAGTCACTTAGACATCTAGCTATCACTGATTTTTAATCATTCTTTTGTCTACTGCAAATATACGACTTTTATTATAAATGTTGCTCCTGGTAAAGAATGTTTCTGGCAGCTTTCCTTTCACAATTCAGAGAGAACAGGAGACTGGATCCAGATTGCTGTCTTCATTATGTATTTATGAGACACTTTATCGGCAATGCATGCTGGATTGAGTAGTTTTCAAAGACTGGTGTCCATAGTACACATGCACGCACAAAAAAATGCTTAGAGCGGTAACTGTATCTACCACACTGAGTATGTCATTGTCATTCAGCATAAAGATGCATCCAAGCCATTTCAGAATCTAAATACGCAGTTGTTCCAGGCTTTTGAAAGTTCTGGATCTACTTATTGGGGTATGGAGCATCTCTGATTCAACAAGTTCAGTAAATACCACTGCTTAAGGTGTTTTTTAGCATGTTTGTATTTTTTCCATTTAAGAACTCTACCAGCTTTAACTGTAATGCTGATGCAAAAATTATTTCTTTCTTGTAGTATACTTAGTATTTTCCACCCATCCCAGGGCACCTGACTTTATTTTTGGCTTACTTTACCTGTTACCTTTGGGATATAATCAGTTGTTCAGCTGCTTCCTTACCCTGATGCGAGATAAATAGGGAAGTCTTTCTTTCTGTTGGATAGTGGGACACAGTTCTTGATAAGGAATATCAGAGGTGTGTCCCATTTTGGCATTTCCTGAGCTACTGAAGAAGCAAAAAATAATGGCGTGGGGTCCAACAGGCTCTTGTTACTGTTTATTTTAGCAATCTGAGCTTTCCGCTGAGGAGCGACCAGAAAGGCTTGGAGCTGCCCAACAACATAGAAGGAAGGTGGCATCTCTGAATAAGCAGATTTTGCAAAAAACCAAACTCCTGGAAGAGGTAAGTATTGTGTGTGTAATAAAGAAGAAAACATTGATAAATGTGGTTGACCACAAAGTTTTTGCCATCCAGAAAAGATTTGCGAGCTATCTTCTGTACCAGCAATTTGTCATTCTGAACATTCATTTCAGCATCTCTGAATGTCTTGCTTGCACATTTATTACTAAGACAATATGGCTGGTTTTGTATTAAAAAATTGTATAGCCTTGTCTGTGAGGAGGGGGCTGGATAATCAAAACATGCTTTCCCTTTTTTTTGCATACCTCTCTTGGAGAAAAACAGAGAGAGTATCTCCATTTCACTTGTTAGCTATAGTGTTGAATGGGCTCTTTTCACAGTTTCAAGAAACAATTTAGGAAGTTACTCTAAAATAGGCTGCAAATGACTTTTTATCACTTCCTGCCCTTTATATGAGCCAGCTTGTCTCGCTGACTAAGGTGGGTTTTTTGCTTGCTTGCTTGTTTGTTTGGGGGTGTTTTTGCAGTCACTGCTTGGTTCACATCTTCACATTTGTTTTAGGCAGGAAAGGCTCTTGAATTTGTGACTGATGTTCTGTTCATATCTATAAGTAAGACCATTTCTGTATTTCAACCTACTTACGCTATTGCCATTTAAACCCAGAAAAGCGTAAGTGGAAAAGCTATGCCATTAATGAAATGCTGCTTTTAATTATGCATACTGATGTAATCAGCACCATGCCTTCTTTAGCTTGCAGAATCTGATGAAAACATATTGCATCAGTCAGTAATTGGAAGAGCTTGCCAAAAAAGAAATAGTACTTGAGGAAAAACTGTTGCCGATGACTTCTGTGGTTGATATTTTGTCAAGTACAGCACTGCTCCAGCAGCCTTCATTTGTTTTTTGTTTTGTTTTGCTCTGCTCTTGCCAGTAACATTTTAACGCCTTACATCTTAATTGGTTTTGCCTATTAAATGTTGGGGGCACAGGGGCTCTGGAAGGTGGGTGACTATATGGCACATTTTATGAGATAGTGATATGTTCAGTCTTACAAACAACAGAGGTGAAAGAATGGTAGCTTTGAAAACTTTACCTACTATGGTATAACTATGGGAGCACTAGATTTTAAACCTTCCTGCTCAGCTACTTAGTAGACCTGACTTTTTTTTGTATTTATTTATTTTTAAAATGAGAATAAAATAGTCTCTAACAGTGCAATGAAGTCTTTTATTTAAAGGATATTTAACCCTTCAAAACTTGTATCTCCTTTCAGTAAAACATATGCTGTTAACCATTTTTTGAAGTCTCTGACTAACATTCAAGTAATACTAAGTTTAAATAAAGCTATAGAAATAAGACTTATGCACAAAAAATTGGAAAGACTAATTGCCTATCCTGTTCTTTGTTTCTCTCTTCTTTTTTTCCAACTTTAATAAAAAGCTTTATGAAGAACCGGTGCAGGTTGTTCTTAATTTATTTTGCACAGAAAAAGACTTTCAAAGGGTAGAGTATGACAGTGTTTTAACTGGTAAATTTTAGAATGTATTTCCTTTGGAACATGCCAAACTAGTTTCGTTCTTCTTAAACTAATGCATTTCTGTTTTTGTTGCCCTCTGGCATGCTCCATCTGTTAAAAATTTTTCATAGTCAGAAATGCTACAATTATTATTTGCACTGTATGTTGAATGTAAACCATGTCTGTCACAATTCCTCTCCGTTCTAGAGTGAAATATTAGAAAGTATTGTGATATACTATAATTATGATATTATGATATACTGAAATTAAATATACTTTTTTTTTTAATTTGGGTTTGTATTCTTTTAACACTTTGGTAATATGAATGTTCCATGTCTGTTTATGTCAAACATAACTTTGGTGCCCTGTCAAGATGATGACTGTTAGTAAAAAGATATTGACAATACCTAGCATTTAAATGCAGGCTGAAGTGTCAGGCTTTCAAAATCATAATATGGGCTTACAGACAGTTAAATCCTGGGTGAATTCCCATGCTGGTTTGAGTTTCTTTCCTGAAGTAGAAACACAAATTACAGAATGAGATCTTTGGAATTTCATAAGGCGGGGGAAAGAAGAGGATGTTCAGTGTATCCTAAGGCATTTGCAGTACGTTTCTGTCACACTTTAACTCTTCTTTTAAACCACAAAGGCTATAAGACAAATACATATGAAGGGAGATACAGATGTGCTGCGTGTATATTGTAGAATGGAGACAGATGCAGGCTCTCTCAGTATCCGCTCTGAGCTAGTGGGTTGCAAACCTGTTCGAGATAAGAAGCTTTGTTGTCATGACTGGCAATGGTTTAACACTGCCTTATTATAAAAGGGGGCACGTTTGCTCAGGTTTAAGGATGGTCTAGTACAGTTCTACAGATTTTGAATGGATTTTGGTTGTGTCCCCCAGCTCACATCCGTCTGCAGTTTTTCTGCAGGCAGTATGTAGACATACTGGAGGCATGCTCAGTTTGAATGTATGTATGTACTAGAACACTGCACCACAGCCCCTGCATTGTGCGAACAGTTCATGTTCTTGGACGCAGTTAGCTCAAGCTTAATTTTCGGGAGGACAACCTAGGTACAATTGTGTAGTAAGAGTGGCATTAGGAAACTGCAACAGCTAGCTCCGGTTTCAGAAAATTAAGATGTGCACTAGCACAGTTCTCCAGCCATGCTGTTTCCTTGATCTTTCTGGCCTAGTTGAGCAGTAAGAGAGGCTGGTAAACGAGCTTGGCAGTTGTGGCTGGCTTTTGCAGCTATTCTGTGTTGTGCTGTTACGATCTGGAAATCAGAAAAGATCTGCCAATGTCTGTATGCAGTCTCAATGACTGAAATGTTCAAAAGCATTTTTTCTGTAGCAGATAGCTCTTATGTTCTGGAGATTTGTAGCATAGTGTGGCTACTGAATTAATAATACAGAATATGCCTGTAACTAGATAGATGTTGAGTGGATTACATTTTCAGGCCTGGTGCAAGTAATGTCCTTTATCAGTTTCCCTGGCATATGAATGAATATATTTGCTTGCTTTTCAAAACTGCTGAGAAGAAGAAAGCAGTTTAGAGTGGGGAGGAAACATAGTTGTAAACCACACAAAATTGGTACAGTTCTTACTTCCTTACAGATCTGCTTTTAACTGCCAAACAAACTTCATAATCCACAGGAAAACTCAAGTATTTTCTAAATCAGTTATCATTCTATTTGCCATTTTAACATACAGATGTGCTGTGTGAAGGCCCTTTAATTCTGTGTTGCTTATTTCCAACACATAACAGTCTCAGTGCTATGTTTTTATATGGGAAAAAACTACTGACAGCTATAAGCCAAATATAATCCTTTTATCACTTTAGTAAAGTAAAAATTTCCTGGCTGAATTTTTTTTATCACTTGCCAAAGACAGCTTTTGAAATCAGTGACAGTCAAGATCCCCCTTTTAGAAAATGTGAAGTTCAATACTGCAGTAAGTTTCAGCAAGAGCCCTCATAACAAATAGTTCTTTAATCTTTATGTCAGTTTTCTGAGATGCGGATTGTAGGCTTGCATTTTTTCCCCCCCCCCACTAGTTAGAATTCAGTCTATTGGTGAATTATTGGTGAAAAATATGAAAAACAATGAAAAAGCTTTCTTTTTATAAATTCGGCTGTGGAAAGGGATGAGTGGAGTGTTGAGTCACAGCTCCGTGTTGTGAACAGCAAACTAAACCAGCATGAAAAGAAGTGGAACAGAAAGCCAAACGTGCATTTCTTTGTTTGCAACACTTCTGCTCCACTTTTGTAACCCATTTTTGTTGGTACTATTTGCAATGTAATCTTAAATCATAAGGACTTTAAAGAAGGATGTTCTTCTAAAATTAGCCTCTGTAAATTATTTGACAAGTGAAATATCCAGTGGCGTTTTGCTAACTGCCTTCTTATTAGACTTTCTATAGTTACACAAAAGAAAATCATAATCCAGCTTGCTTATTTGGTAATGGACATGTCTATGGTATAGTGCCATGGCGTTTTTATGCAAGTCTTGAATCACCCTAACTTATTTGGAGAACTACGACATGGGACTCTCTTCTTAGCCTGGTGTGAAACTGGGCCCGTATAACCAGGCTAAATAACTTTGAGCAATTTAGCAGAGATTCTATCCAATAAGTTACCATTCTGTTGGCATCCATTTTGTAAAAGCTGCTGTTTATTCTGGGACCTAATACATCTAGAAGGTCGGTTGGAAAATGTTTGCAGTTATTAATTAAATATTCGATCAGAATTCTTGCAATCAAATGCTCTCAGAGTAGATGACAAGAAAAGACAGTGTTTGTGATGGTTGGCCTGTTGTTTAATAGACAACCATTATTAACAGCTCAAATACTGCTGTTCTCCATTACAGGTGCAATTAGCGTGAATGTAGAATCAAACTTTTTTCTTTCTCTTTCATAATAGTTGCAAGCTAAATGTGCTGATCTGCAGGCAAAATGTACCGAAGCAAAAAAGACGTTAACTGAGGTAATCTTCCTTTGTTTTTCTGTGCACTGATTCTAGCTGAATCATTTTTGAGAAGTTCTGTGTGTAGAAGGATGTATTAAATGGTGAAGGTGTTTGACAACTTACCTCACTGATCCCACGGTGTGGGAAAGCTGAGTACCATGAATCATTCTGTGTCTGGAAGTGTATTTCAATTTACTGTTAATTGCAACCCTTAGGTTAAGAGTTACAGTGAAAAGCTGGACAAGGAATTGGCAGCCTTAGAAACAATAGAATCCCAAGCAGATTCTAGGTAAGTTTCTTCCTTTGTGACCTTCTGAAAAAATGATGGTTTTAAAATGAACCATTCAGTGTTTCTTGCTTTGTCAACCTAAACAAATAACTAAAATTTAAAAATTAAATAATTCTCCAGCTTGCTTTCCAAAGACAGGAAAATATTACCATAGTATTCAGTCAGAATGAAAAATGTCAATCTGTAGTTGAAAATAATTGTAGGTGTTTAAAGCAGAACCACCCTAGACACATTTGACAAGTAGATGAGGCCTTCCTGATTTTTTTTTTTACATATTTGAAGCCTTCATCTCACACAAATTAAATAGGGGGCGCTCTCAAAACTTCCACAATAATAAGGTGAGAACATAGCAAAACCATCAAAATACTCAGTGTAATAGTACATTTTTATTTTGACCTTGGTGTATCAGTGGTGATATTTGGGTTTTTAATTTACAGAGATTTTATTGGAAATTTATATAGAACTAAGCTTGTTCTAATGTCTTTTAGTTCTCCATCTGTTTAAATTAGAAACTAAACGTCTAATGTGGTTTACTGGATCTTCAAATTTAGCATATTACAGAGTCTGCGAGCGCTGGTGGCCATGAATGAAAACCTAAAAAGCCAGGAGCAAGAGTTCAAAGCACATTGTAGGGTAAGTTTTAATTTCTTATATAAGGATTCATTTAAAACTTGTTAAATAAGCATTATATTTCTTCCTGATTTGTCGTTGTGTCGTGTGTCCCTGTTGTCGCCACCACCACCCCCAACCCCGCCCGGCCCCATTTACTGGTATTTCCGGGTTCATATTCAATATTGCCACCAGCTTGATTCGCGGCAGAATTATGGACAGTTGCCCAGTTGTGCAGTGTATCATATCTGCAACAAGGCTGATGACCAAGAAGGTTGGAACTGGATTAACCAGAAGGACTTGCCCCCTGCCCTGACGCAGGGAGATGTAAGGAAGGCTGCCAAGGCATCGGAATGAGTGTGGCCTTCGATGTTTTGTTGTGCCTGGAACTCTTTAATAAAGTGCAGTTCCTAGACATACAGTGCCAGATCAGCCTTGTACTGGTCACAGCTGTTACTGTTCTAGCTCCCATTACCATTCTGCTGAGAGCGACTTGGGGTGGGTTGACAGGGAGCACTAAAATGTAAGTTTGAGGTTGGGCTGTAGTTACCCACCTGTGCTCTTCACAACCTGAAATGGATTGTCTCTTCTTGGATAATGCAGCCAACAGTGACCGGAGGAGAGGTACGGTGCCAAAGAGGAGGGCTTCATGAAGGCCCTAGCTTTGGAGCAACTCTGACAAGACTGAGATGAAGCTATTGCAGTTTTCAGAGCATGTTTCAGTTTTACTGCTTAATTACTATGTTTTGCTGTCCTGTTTACTGCTGTGTTCATGGACTGCCTAGATTGGAGAGAATTGTTTTCATTCTCTTCTATTTAAACAATAGTGGATGGGATTCAATAGAATGAAAAGAACTAAAAAGAAATAGTGCCTTGAGGCATAGACTGAGCATAGGAGCTTCATTTTCCCATATATACTCCTTTGGAAAGCTCTAAAGGATTGTAGTGGAAACTACCTTGCAAGTAAATTTAGGTTTGTTCATTTTTACAAATGCCATATGTTGCAGTCCTGTGTCATGCTATTGTAATACTCCTTTGCTTCCTCAGTTTCATTTTCCATGTCACGCATTAGTTGTCTTAGATGAATCTAGTATATTTGCAAGTAAGAAATAAATTTGTTCCTCTGTTTGATAAAAGCAGACATTTTTATGTAATGAATAGTAATGGATGCCTTACCCTTAACCAGGGAATGCTGTTTCATCTTACAAATTTAAATATAAAGTGTGTGATCAGCTCCACAATTTTATTAGAGGTGTATGTTGTCAAGCTTCCTGCTCTCCCTTGTCAAGAGGATAGGTCTCAGTTAAAAGCAACACAAACTTTTTTTGTTTTAAAGGAAGAAATGGAGAGACTTCAACAAAATATTGAGAATTTGAAAGCTGAGGCAGTGGAAGACGGGGAGGAACAGGTAATAGCAAATGTCTTAAGTTTTTCTTTTCAGTTTGTGTTTTAAAATGTTGTTTTAGGTCCTTCTGACTTCTGGCATATTCTTGTAAGTGTTAAAGTATCTGTTGCAATCTCTGAAAAATTCTATTCTCCCCCACTGCTAAAGCCACAGTTCAGGCTAATAATCATAGAAATACAGTAGACTGAAAATAGCTCTAGTATTCTTCATTATTCTTGCAGAATCCACGGGGCTAACTCATAGATGCTTTTGTGCCTTTCACTTCTTTCTTTGTAGTACCAGAGAAAAATCTCTGGATGTTGTCTTAAGAGCAGTTCATACCTCTGACAAAAACAGGTCTTCCTCAGAAAGCATGTTTGTTTTGGTTGTTTTTTTCTTAGAAGTGGATTTATTTGAAGAATGAAAGCACAAGTTTTCAGTGGCTCAGTACATCCGCATGCCATGAGCAGCTGTCAGAAGTTAGGCTTTAACACAAGTGCATCCAGACTGATGGCAATGAATAATGAATGAACAGAAAAGGAAAAGCTTGAATTACTTTGTATTTTCAATGGGTAAACATTTGATACATTTATGCCTCTGAAATAAGGTAGATGACAGGGACCATGATACTGTGTTCTGAACACAGCATGAAAAAATTAAAATACAAACGTAGATCTTACATTTTTAAACAAGAAAAAATTATCTTAAAGTCCGCAATCCAGGAAATCTAGAATACATGTCAGGGTTTATGTTTTGTCCTGGGCCATGTTTACCCTTAACCTTGCCACTGAATCAAAGTATAAGCATTCAGACAAGGAGTACGGACTATCTTCCTATACATATCTTCATTTAAAGTATGACTGTTGTAAAGCAGTGGAAAAACTATTGACAAACCTTAAAAACTAAAACGTCAAAGGCTTAAAAGCTAGCAAAATGCACTTGTTTGCAGTAAAGATGGCAATTTTTTAATGCAGATTATGAATCTGTTAAAAAAAAAAAAACAAACCAGCAAATCGTGGTGTTACTGTGGGAGCCATTAAATGGAAGATAGACAAACACAGAAAACAAACCCAGTTTGCATATTTTTCCTACTGTAATACACAATTATTTGGGTTCTCAAATTCTAGGAGCCAAATAAGATTATAGAACAGCAGTACAAAACTGAGAAAGATAAACTTCAAAAGATTCGGCTGTTATTGGTGAGTAACTCTTTGTAAATTTACTTGTACAAAATTATTGATGTTTTTCTTACTTTGTAACTTCTAATACTTCTTTTTGTTGTTCTAAAAGTTTTTCTGTCACAAATCAATTACCAAAAAAATTGAGCCTTAGCCAATGCTTTTTTCTTTTAATTAATTATTCAGTAACAAAATATTGCGGGGGGGGGCTTCATCCATTTTAAGAAGAGAACAAGAAGAGGCTTTGTTTTCTCCCCTCCTAACTTTCTATTCAGGCACGAAGAAACAGAGAAATAGCCATTTTACAACGCAAGATTGATGAAGTACCCAGCCGAGCTGAGCTAACACAGTATCAGAAGAGATTTATTGAACTTTACAGTCAG